CAGCTCCCCCCCAGCTCTTTGTGATCTGGGATTACAATGGGAGAGTGGCTAACTATAGGGATGAGCTCAGTGGGGCCCTCCGGCTGCCCACAGCCCTTGCTGGGCACGCCAGCCCCTGCGCTCGCCCGGGCAGGATTCTCTCCAGCACAGTGCCACCATCATCTCCAAGACCCCCCAACAAAGCGGGGCGTGCTGAAACTACCCGAGCGGGAGCAGGCAAGGCTGGTTCCTTGCTGATCCCTGACAGCTGATGCCCTGGGGCCAGGGCCGTACAGCCTTGGTGGGCGCCAGCACCTCCCGCCATATCTGCGGTGGGCAGCTGACCCCCTGCGGCACCTTCGAGGAGGCAGGCAGAGCCTGGGCTTGCAGCCGGAGGACATGGGGAGGATGGAGCTGGGTTTCACTCCAAAGACAAGCCCCAAAGTCAAGCACGTACATCCCGAGGACAGAGGGGATTGATAGTGCTGGCCTCCCCATCCCGCTCTGATACTTTGCTTCTCCCTCCTGGCACGATGAGCAGGGCAGCAGGTTGACAGGGTCTCTGTTTGAAGTTTTGCCTGTTCTTTGCCTCATGTCCTTGATCTAGGATGGAGCTGGGTTTCACTCCAAAGACAAGCCCCAAAGTCAAGCACGTACATCCCGAGGACAGAGGGGATTGATAGTGCTGGCCTCCCCATCCCGCTCTGATACTTTGCTTCTCCCTCCTGGCACGATGAGCAGGGCAGCAGGTTGACAGGGTCTCTGTTTGAAGTTTTGCCTGTTCTTTGCCTCATGTCCTTGATCTGTGTATTTCTGTTACTCTAAGCGGAGAATCTGGTGCTGGTAAGACTGTAAACACCAAGCGGGTCATTCAGTACTTTGCCATTGTCGCAGCCTTGGGCGACACACCGGGCAAGAAATTAGTAAGACCCTCTTTTGAAACAAGTTCTTGCTGTTTTCTTCCTTTATTTTTTTTTCTCTTTCCCCCTCCTCCCCCTTTCTTCTTCTTTTTTTTTTTTGTTCCCCCAACTTTTTGCATTTGGAAGCGTGTTTTGGTCTGACCCACCCAGGGCTTGGCTTTTCCCTGACTTTTGAACAAGCAAGGCTTGAAATTATTCTGCTCAAGGGGAAATGGATTTTTTTTATGTGGCTGCTCAATCTGTGCAGCCTGGAAGAGGTGCTTTAGACGCTCTCATTTTCTTCTCTTCCTCCTTCAACACCCCACAGATCTTCTTAAAGAACATTAAAACTATGGAGTAAACCTGCCATTTCCCACCTTGCCTCTTTTAAGCCTTGCTTTTCGTCCTTTTCTCCTTTTTTCCTCCTCTTGTTCATTTTGACCCTTTTCTACCTTGTGCTTTTCTTGCTCTTGTTTTGATTCTTGCATTTCTTTGGTGCTGGTTATTTTTGAGCTACCCTTGCAATTGCTTATTTCTTTTTGATACGTTGAGGCTCCAGCCTGCTTTTCCCTTGTAGAAGCAAACTGGCTGCCTTAGGTATCAGACAAGCAATACTTCAGCATTATTTTCTTTACTCTTCTTTGGGTTTGGATTTAACCGTTCTTGCTTTTTGTTGCATTTCTTTATTTTCTTGAGCTAATCTATTTAACAACTTTTTGGCATCTCTTATAAAGTTTAATACTCCCATTTTTTTCTTGGACGTTTTTTGGCACTAAATGGTCATGCCCTGCTTTTCTGACCATGCTTCTTGTGGTTCTTGCCTGGCTTTTCTGGATTTCTAAAGACAATTTTCTTTCCTTTCTCTAGGCAGCTCTTGCCACTAAAACTGGGGTAAGTGTTGTAGACTCCTAATCTTTAACACTGAGGACAGGGTTCTGCTGCACCGCAGAGCTACGGCGGGGTGATGGGGAAAGCCTGTGTGGGGCATCTGCCTCGGGTCTGGGAGCAAGGGCTGCCCCAGCACCTGGGCAGTGTTGAGTTCTCCGCTTGGCTTTGTATCTCCCACCTTCCCATAGTTTGAAGCGTTGGTATTTCATCTCTTAGTGACTTTCTACCTTTCTGACTCCAACCTCTCCTTCAAGGGATCATGACTCTTCAAACGCTTTTTTCTAACCAGCACACTGTTTCCCTGGGGGTGGCGTGGGCTCCTCCAAAGGGAAGGTGAAGCCCCCACTCTTGGAGGCATTAAAGTTCCTCCCAGCCTCAAGGCCCAGCTGAGGCTGGTGGTGCTGAGGGGCCGGGGAAGAGCCTCTTTCCCACAGGCACCACTGTGCTCTGGCTGCAGACCGGGGCCCTGATGATGCTGGACATGCCACCCTCTGCAAAGCCCTGAACTGGCTAGGCCCACCACACTGCAGGCAGCTGACGGCCTTCGCTGGGGTGCATTTCTGAGGTGCTTGCTTAGCTCCAGGGAAACAACTGAGTGCCTTTGGAAATTCAGCAAAAGCTCAGTCCCTGGCTCCCCCAGCACACCAAAGGCTCAGCCATTTCAGCAGCTCGGTTGTACATCCTTGGCCCTTGGTTTCTCTGAGCACTGAGGGACAGCCTTTAGCAGATGCACACCCTTGGGTGCAGGATGCTCATTGACACAGGAGTCTCAGACCACTTGGGCAAACTTACTAAGAGTGAGGTAGCTGGGGGGCTATGCGTGGGGCAGCCCCCGTTCAATCTCATAGGCCAGGCAATTTTAGATAAGCCTGAATTTAAAGATAACAGATCAAAGGATATCCAAGTGACAAAATACAGTTTCTTAGTAAAGCTCTGATTCACAGCCGATCCTCATCAATTTTGTCCTTCACACGGCTGGAGCTGCAGAGGTGGGGAGCAGTCGTGAGCCCAACAGAGCTGGGCAGAGCCCAGAGCTGGTGTTTCTCCCCTAAGGAAAGCCCTGTGGACTGTAATGAGTCAGAGTGTGGGCAAAAACTCTCATGAAAAATCCTGCAGGTGCCTGTGCCATCAAACTCTGCTACTGATGTTGAACCCCATTGTGCTTTGTGTGGCTTAGCACGACACTCTTGCTTCTCTCCCTGAATTCTTGTCCTGCTTTGTGTCTGTTAGGTGGAAGCTGTCTCTTTCTCTTTGAATTGTGCATGTGAAATACGAGCAGAAAAACAAGGTTGGGGGAAGATTAATCTTGGGCCTTGCTCAGGAGATCTCCAGTGAGTTCAGCAGATCACACCAGCTGGGTCCTGTGATGTGTTGCCATCACACTGTGACCCTGCTGTGCACGTTGTTAGTGTAGGGAGTCAGAGATCAAGCCTGTTTTCTATATCTCTTCTTTTGTAATGGGCTGTGATTTGAACTGCCCAAGACTTTGGTTTGGTGGATGAGGAAATGCCTGGCAGAGTCAAAGAGCCTGAGATGTTTCAGACTCTTGTGGTGACAATGCGTGCTTGCTCTCGGTTTGCATATCGTAGTAGCCTAAGAAAGGGGCTAAGGACTGCTGTGTATAGAGGGGCCAGTTTAGGCAAGGAGAGCATTGCTGCAAAACCTAGCTCTGCTGACCTCTAAACCAAGCTGCATAGCCTCATGAAACAAGGAAGTGTCTCAGGAGCAGCAGGCTCTTAAAGACAGCTAACGAGCATAGCAGGCAGATGGTGCAAGGAGCCCCACTCTATTTCCCTGTGTTGTTAGCAACAGATCCCCTCTAGCTGGGTGGGAGCTGACATCTTTTGGTTCTGTTTTGCAGGGCACCCTCGAAGATCAAATCATTGAGGCTAACCCAGCTATGGAAGCTTTTGGCAATGCTAAAACCATAAGAAATGACAACTCCTCACGTTTTGTAAGTGTCTTAGCAAGATAGTGAGCTAATGTGCCTCTTTTACGAAAGCTGAATGCATCACTTGTGGTATTGTATTTTTGTATGGTGTGAGCCAAAGACACGTAGCAAGAAGCTAGCTCTGCTTCCTGGTGGGGTTGGACTGCTGAGACCAAGTTTATTCTGATTACATCAGTGCAGTACACAGTGCACTGGTCAGAGTGAATTGCCCTGGTGTCGCAGCCTGTGGCAGGAGGGAAGTCCCTTACAGGACCAAAGTTGAGGGCCAGTAGGCACAGCCTGGAGTGCTGGAGCTGGGACAGACAAGTGTGCCCCTTCCAGGGACTAGCATCCTTTTTGTTAAGCCCAGCCTGGGCCTGCTGTGGGATGCAGAGCTCATCAACCACAGGTGGCTTTGATGCCTGTTCTTGTGCCTTGGAGGGAAAAGACACGCCTGGGTGAGATTCCTCAGCACATCACAGAGCAGGAGACTGTGGGCAGACTCAGTATCCTACTGCCCTGCAAAAGTGCTTAGCTTTAAGAACAGGCCTAAGGACAGGGATTTATCTGCTGTGAGCAAAGTTTCTGCCTGCCTAGTGTTTAAAGCCTTAGATGATGTTGTCTGACCTTGTGCACATTACAAACCAGAGAACTTCACTCACCCCTCACAGAGCCCAGTAACTTGCCTGGCATCAGCAGAAGCCTAAGAAGTAGAAAATTACCAGTGTTTTGTGGTTGTCTGAGGTTAACTGGGAGCTGTTCAGAATTGTACCTGTGTAGCCAAGCCCAGTGCTTAGCTCCCTGTGCATGTTTTCAGGGCAAGTTCATCCGGATCCATTTTGGCCCCTCAGGGAAGCTGGCCTCTGCAGACATCGACATCTGTGAGTAAACATGTGCCAGCTGCAGCGGGGAGGGATTTCTTCTCACTTATTTGTGCTGGGTCAGTTCCAGAAAAGAACAAGCCCTCCTCTAACCCCTCTGCCCTATTTGCTTCTAGACCTTCTGGAAAAATCAAGAGTGATTTTCCAGCAACCCAAAGAGCGAAGCTACCACATCTACTACCAGATCCTCTCTGGGAAGAAACCAGAGCTGCAAGGTAAGGTGGCCAAAGCTGCAGCATAGCCTTCACAGCTTGGTGGCTTGAAAATAGCCACAAAGAGCTCTGTCGTTAGTTCATTCCACAGGGAATGAGCAAACTCAACTCACCATGGAGGTACTGCCCTCAAATGCTTTTCTAGCTGTGCAGGATTGTAGGATTATTCAGGATAAAAGGGATTTCAAGAGGTCATCTAGTCCAGCCTCTTTTATCCTCACAGACTGAGAAGCCGGACTGAAGCTCTTTTTCCAACTGTCTAGGTGTGGAGAAGCGGATGCTCAGGGTCTATCTGAGCGTGGGAGCGTGCTTTGCAAAGCTGCTTTGCATAGAGTCCTTGTTGTGTGGTGGGTATAGCACTGACCTCAGCATGTGCAGACTGGATATTTACGCATTTTGGAGTAGGGAAGTGTTTTTCAGCTTACTCTGAGCTCCTTCAGCCACCCTAGTGAGATGACCTGTTTCAGGTGAGCTTGAAAACAGCTGTGCAGCTTACTCACTGGTTTAAACATATCCTAGATGTCTTCCCCAGGACAGTCCCAGCTGACTTGAATTTGCACTGGGGCAGTCCTGTGCTCTGAGCAGCCCTGCCCTCCAGGTGCTAGGTCACATGGAGTGCACAGTGAACCTTTCCACATTGCAGAAAGATGGCTGGCACAGTCCCCTGGGCTGGTCAGCCTCTTGGCTGTGGTCTCTTGAGCTTGTTGCTGGCTCGAGAACAATACCTTATTAGGCAGGTCTGGAGAGCTGTGCAGAGCAGTAATCTTATCTGGTGGTCACAAGGACACATGGATGGCCACTTCTAAATCAGTCTGCAGCCAAGCCATATCCCAAGATAGCAAGCAGGAGGCACATCGCAGAAGAAATGGACCCATGTGTGGACCTGCCTGGGCTTGAAAAGGCTGTTCTCCCACCAGCTGGTGCCCTCTAGTTGAGGCTGGTGGAGCCTTACCTTTTCATCTGTGTCCAGGGTTGCCCCTCTGCCCCAGCTTTGTCAGACTGGCCTTACCCTCTACATGTCTTCTCCCAACAGATATGCTGCTGCTCTCCCTTAACCCCTATGACTACCACTTCTGCTCTCAGGGTGTAACAACTGTGGACAACCTGGATGATGGCGAGGAACTCATGGCAACAGATGTACGTGTACTTCCTTTACACTGCACAGCCCAAGGCAGTGGCCTGGGGAAGGGCACAACCTCCTTTTGGGCAGACGTGGGGATGTGTCCTGGCTTTTCTGTGTCCTTCTCTAAATTAGCTGTGAGGTCCTTCTGGCTTATTGGCAGTTGCTCTACATGTGCTGTGAGCCTACAGGAAAGGGCAGAGTGATTCTGATATCCATCAACAGCATCCTCCAGGCAAAGAACGGAGAGTAATTCCCTGCATTAGGAAGGGCCTGTAGCACAGGAACACTTCCTATGGCTCCCATGAGAAGATGAGACCTCAGCTCTGAAAACCTCCTGCTTGTGGATGCTAGGCTAGCCCTTTCACTTTCAAATGGTATCTTGTGGGAGCTCAACTCACATTCACAAGGACATGATTCCTTGGCTAAGTGCCCACCGGATAGAGCATGCTGCCCAGAGCCCCAGGATAGGGAGAGTGCCTTAGGAGATGGTGGGAGGACCAACCCTCACCACAGAGTGGTGATTTTGTTCTATCTATACTGCTTTGTCTCTCCTCAGCATGCCATGGACATCTTGGGCTTCAGCAATGATGAGAAATATGGCTCCTATAAAATAGTGGGTGCTATCATGCACTTCGGCAACATGAAGTTCAAGCAAAAGCAGCGAGAAGAGCAGGCAGAAGCTGATGGCACTGAAAGTGAGTTTGGTTCCATGCTGCTAGATCTGCCCAGCCTGGGCTGGGCATGAAAATTCTTCCAAGGGCAGACTGTGATAACTTCCCTGGCCTGGTCTGTGAAGGTCAGTGACCATGATCCCAAGCAACCACATTGTCTTAGGACCTGCTTTAGATGCACAAAGAGACTTGTCCTTGAGTGAGCATATTTCAGCCAGCCTTTTCTGCAAGCACTAGGTGGTCTCATCTACATCAGACTTGCCTCAGCAACATCACAGGTTGTCACACCCTGGCTGTGCTTCATCTTGTTCAGTGTTCTCCTGCCCTTCATCATCTCTTCCCTTGCACTTCATTAGACAGCCTTCCAGAGCAGGTCATCCACAGAATATGAGCCAGGCCATGATCTGCAAGGACCTGCTCAGGCCACAGCCTCCTGAAGAGCAGTTAGAGTAGGATACAGTCACTGTCTGATACTTTTCTTTGTTTGCTACTTAGGAAAATGCAATGCAAATCATAGATCTAAGAGAATAGTCAGGCTGCAGAGCAAACCTGAAAATATAGAAAAATCAGAGCTCAAATATTTTCTATTGCTTTTGCATTGCTGTGTTATGCCTGGCTCCCAGGCATAATGGAGAAACTTCAAGGAGAGAGTGACTTTCCAGCATGTGGAAGGATGAGAAGGGGGAGCCCTATCACCTAACTGGAAAGCAAATAGTAACTGTGCATCAGCTGAGGCAGGGATCCAGCAGAAATGACTACCTGGATCAGACCTTGTCATGCTAACATTCATGAAGGAAGAGTTCCCCTTGCCTGAGGAATGTCAACACAGGATTCAGCTGCTACCTGGTAATTAAATACGATTTTGATCTAGCAGTGATTTCCCTATAGAGGTGATTTTTTAGCTACAATCTGCTATTAGGAGTCTATGAAAGATAAGCAAGAGTATCACCTCTCCTCTGGTCAGTTCAAATTCACTGCATGCGAATTCACTTTCACTGGAAAATGCATAGAGACCCCCAGATCAAGAAGACTCAAAAACCTGATAGGCATCTGACAAGGTACAGCAGGTCTGCTATGGCCATCTCCTCCAAACAGTAACTTCTCAGGCAGGAGGTCCAGATTTTAAAAGCATCATACAATATCCAAGATGGGAAGTCACACTAGACACTGGAGGACACTCTGGAGCATGTGGAAAAACTGGTATAGTTAGCATTGATCAGCAGAAGAGCTGGTAATTTTTTATTTTCTTTTATTCCTTCAGAGGGCTTGCTTTTGGATCCTCATGCCTTTGTACTGTTTTACAGGTGCTGACAAAGCTGCCTACCTCATGGGAATCAGCTCAGCTGACCTCATCAAGGGGTTGCTCCATCCTCGTGTGAAAGTGGGCAATGAATATGTGACCAAAGGTCAGAACGTGGAACAGGTGAGTGTGCCAGGACATGCGCTCCCAGCTCACGCTGCTATGTGATTCTTCTGCAGGCAGGCCCATTGCATAATGTTCTCTGCACAGGGTGACTGGTGCTTCAGCTCATTCTCTCAGGTTTAAGAGGAGACTCCAGAGCAGCATGAGAATATGTATCGATGGTTACTGGTTTTTAGCAGCTGGGAAAGTGGTGGCAGAGCTGGCAGATAACTTTGGATATTAACCAAGGCTGCAGGTTTAATGTATCTTTGAAATGTGGGTTGGATCACAGCCAGAAGAGGTCCAGTTTCTATGGATCTGCTTCAGAGACCGTCACACTCCCATGAAGAGTAGAGCTCTGGAAAGTAGAAAACTCATCTAAAATTCATCTAAACTGATCTTGTGGGAGACTCAAATGCACCAGATATGTGTCTTGTCAGGTTCCAGCAATCTGGCCTGAATAGTGCAAGCCAGTCCTCAAGTAAAATTCAAGAGGACCTTAGGAGATGGTGTCTTATCCAAAGTGAGCTGTAGGCTCCTGCCATGCATAAGGCTTCTGAAAATATGACTTCAGACTGAATCTGTAATCTAAGACCTTGGAGTCTAAGACCAGTCCAGGGGCACAAGAACACACTTGTGAGCATGTGAAAACTAATCTTAGAGCATATGCTGTAACCATGAACTCCCTGGACCTGTCTGTCTGTCCTTTGTGTGCCAAGAGGAGCTCCCTTCAGCCTCTAGCCCCTATAAAACAGGGAGAAGCATAAGTGCTCATGACCTACTCTGTGATTTGCTTTGGCAGGTTGTCTATGCTGTGGGAGCCCTGGCTAAAGCCACCTATGATCGCATGTTCAAGTGGCTGGTGACTCGGATCAACAAGACCCTAGATACCAAGCTGGCCAGACAGTTCTTCATTGGAGTACTGGACATTGCAGGCTTTGAGATCTTTGATGTAAGTTCTGCAGTCCCCATGCAATGGGTTCAGGGGAATGTTGTAGCTAGGCAGTTCAGTCCCCTAGTGTCTGACAGCTCTATCTCCACCAAGAAACCGCTGGCTTTGATAATAAAAAGAGCTCTCGTCTGAATTAATTTATCTGGAGCAAACAGGCAGCTCACAAGGACTGTTCTAACATTGCTGTGGGCACATGTCCAGTGATTCCTGGCTACCTCCTTGGTAGCGATCCAACTGAGCCTAGCAGAGATCACTCTTCATACCCAGACAAAGCAGAAGAGTGAATCCCTTCACATCTGGAGCTCCTCCTGCTGATGCAGGTGTGTTTTGTTCTTGCAGTACAACAGCTTTGAGCAGCTGTGCATCAACTTCACCAATGAAAAGCTGCAACAGTTCTTCAACCACCACATGTTTGTCCTGGAGCAAGAAGAATACAAGAAGGAAGGCATCGAATGGGTCTTCATTGATTTTGGCCTGGACCTGCAGGCTTGCATTGACCTGATTGAGAAGGTAAAGCATGAGTCGGGGCACAGGAATGGTACTTCTGGTAGGTGGCTTGTTTTCAAAGACTGGAACAGTGAGAGGTACTGTACTAGCAGAAAAGAAATTATTCCCTCCCCCGTCAGTAGCAAGTGCCTAAGTTTCCCCCACACTTACAGCTCAGAGCCTCCATCCCACTGAGTCCTTTTTGACACAAATTTTGACTTTTATGAAACTGCAAAAATTCTGTTCTTACCCACTGGTGATCCACAAAACCTGGTGTGGCCTTTTCCTCCAGAGAACGGTGATCTCTGGCCCTTTTTTCCTACCCACTTGCTGCCCCTCAGTACTTGAGTACTTGCTGATTCAGAGCAGCTTGTATAAAAGATTTCCACCATTGTATGGAGGAAACTCACCTTTTTTTGGAAAGGAGCAAACCTGTCAAGACACTGGAGAGTATCTCCCCTTCCCAACAGTCTGATGGACCTGGGCAAGCCCCCACATCTTGTAGGCCTGGCCAATTGCACTCTGACTGGCTGTAGGTCAGATGCATCCTGGAATACACCAGTGATAGCTTGCCCCATGGTCAATGTCTTGCACCATTTGCCTGAATGAGGATGAGGTCGCCTAAGTCAAGCCTTGCCTTGCCTTGCTCCGTGGCAGAGAGAACCCCCATTCTGGGATGGGACATGGCAACACTGAGCTCAGACCTCTTTATACCACCTTTTCCCTGCAGCCACTGGGAATCCTGTCCATTCTCGAAGAGGAGTGCATGTTCCCAAAAGCCTCCGACATGTCATTCAAAGCTAAGCTCTATGACAACCACATTGGGAAGTCGCCCAACTTCCAGAAGCCCCGGCCGGATAAAAAGCGGAAATATGAGGCCCACTTTGAGCTGGTACACTATGCTGGTGTGGTACGTCCCTTGTCAGCTCTTCCACAGCACTCACACCTTCCCCTTGCAGGGATCTCCTTACCTTTGCCTTTCTCCTCTGGTGACAGGTGCCATACAACATCATTGGCTGGCTTGACAAGAACAAGGACCCCCTGAATGAGACAGTGGTGTCCGTCTTCCAAAAATCCCAAAACAAGCTCCTGGCCTCCCTCTATGAGAACTATGTGGGCTCTACTTCAGGTGAGGAACAACCTCATCCCACCTCAGTCTCTCCCTCCCTTTGCAGCAAAGCCTCCTCAACCCCACACCCAGCTGTTGGTGCAGCATTCCAAACTAGCAGCTGGGCAAAGGTTTTGACCACATTAACCCCTAAAAACCTCTCTGGCCTGGGTAGGTGGGTACTCTGGGCATGCAGTGCTGGCCTGGGGGCTTTAGGTAGGTGTTTAGGACCAGGCTGAGCTTGTACGGTGCTGTCGAGCTGTCCTGGTGGCCCTGTGACTTGGGATGTGTGAAGGGGTCTGTTACCAAAAGCTGAGGAGCAACACCCAGAGTTGGGTGCCATGGGAGATGTTTTTGATGGTCTGTGGCTTTGTGCTGCAGCAGGGCACTATCACCTCTGCTTTACAAGAGAGTAGGGGCTGTGGGTGTTTCAGGGGTGTTTGGGGGTGCTCCTGAGTCCTCCAAGCCAAGCAGATGCTTTGCTGATGTAATATTTCAACCCAACAGAGGAACCTCACAAGCCAGGGACCAAGGAGAAACGTAAAAAGGCAGCTTCTTTCCAAACAGTGTCACAGCTGCACAAGGTAAGAGCCAGCCCCTCATCCAAGGCCATGAGGGAAGCATGCTCAGAGTGTCCCAGTATCAGTCCCACCTCCCTGCTACTCTCTGGGGTATCTTGCACATGAGCCCCTGGGGCCTGAAGGACCGCCAGGGCTCCTGAAGGACCACCACTAGGCAAAAATTCCTAACACCCTCTCATCCCTGGGCAAAGGGCCTGTGCCTGGCAGAGTACCAGCCCTGTCCCCATGCTGCTAGGAAAAAAACAATGGCTCCCTTTGAGTTGGGGCTTGTGCTGCTTCTGCCCGCGTGATGTTTGCACTGCCCGGCAGCTCCTTCGCCTTTGAGAGAGCGGCAGTTAAGACTTGTAGTGATGTTTAGATAATGTATTACATGAACATCACTTTAAGTCTGTGCTACTTCTCTCCTCATTCTTGTCGGCGGGAAGGACAGCCTTTGGGCAGAAGAAAATGGAGGAGGATCTTACAAGTCTCTGAGCAGGCAGCTCTGCTGTCCTGTCCAGGGAGGTGACTCGAGCTATTTCACAGCTCAGGATATTGCACACCCCTGTTCTCATGCTCACCATGCATGAGAGACATTTGTCCACCCCAGAGCTAAAGCAACTGGAAAACAGCACAGAGGGGTGTGTGAGCCCAACGCTGTGTCCTGCCATGGCAGACTTGTGGTGACAGGGTGCTCAAAGAGGGCAGCGCTTGCGTCAGAGCCCCTGTTCAGGGAGGTGTGTGACTTTCTTACTCCTGGACAAGTCACAGGTCTTGGGGAAAGGTGTCTGTGGTGAGAAGTTGCCTCATGATGACATGGAGCTGTGGGAAGGCTTTCCCTTCCCTGAGTGGGTCCTTGGACAGGCTGAGCCTGTACGAGCAGGGGAAGGTAGCCTCGAAAGATTGAGGGTGCAGATGCCTTTCCCACAAGAAAATGCAGGACCATATCTTGGCTTGAGCCCTGCCTTGAGGAGAAAAGGAGGCCCAGGCTGAGCAGGGCAGAGCCCTCTGTCATGGCTGAAGGGCATGGGCAGCTCTGTGGAGGTGCAGGGAAAATCTGATGGGGACTGCAGCCAGTGTGGATGCCAGCACTGCATTTGCAGGGTGCTGCGTGCAGGACTGATGGGCACCAGCAGAGCTGTATACCAGGAATATGCTCAGTCCTGTGTTCCTGGCTGTCTGCTGAAGCAAAACCTTCCCTAGAAATACTTGGGAAGTATCTGGCTCCTCTCTGGCATAGCAAAACCTGCAGGTGCTATTTGGCATGTCTGCCAGCCCAGTCCCCTCTGCCATTGCTCCGACCCTGGAAGAAGGCAGTGGTCCTGCTACAGGGCTGCGGATGCCCTGTTGGCAGGATAGCACAGAGAGCAGACAAGCAGGAGAAAATTTCCCCTCTCTCATGGAGAGTGGTAAGGGGCTCTCAGCATCTGCTCTCTCCCTGCCTGTGGGGGGAAGGGGCTGGAGAGGAGTGTTGTAGGGGAGCAGAGCTCTCACTTCATGCCTCATCCCCCATGTCTGCCCTACAGGAGAATCTCAACAAGCTGATGACGAACCTGCGCTCCACTCAGCCCCACTTTGTTCGCTGCATCATCCCCAATGAGACAAAGACCCCAGGTATGCATGGACTGAGACAGCACCCTAGCAGTTCCCTTGGATGGCATCCACACGTGGGAGCTGGCAGGGAGTCTTGCACCCACCTTCTCCCCAACCCTTTTCCTGAAGCAGTTCTACTTCCACTGAGACCTGGACCCATCTCAGTGTGGAAACCCCTGTGACGTGTGCCAGTTTCCTCTACTGGGGGGAATGAGTTTTGCCAGGCTCCCATTTTGGCTGTGCATTGATGGTTGGGCTGCCTTGTACTTGTGCATGACAGCAGGCACAGATGAGGCTTTCAGGCTGACTTCCATCGTCCAAGGCCCAGGCTGCAGCACTGATGCTCAGCATAGGCCTACAGCACAGGTTAACAGCTGTGTTCAAAATCACAGGCTGTTCCCAGAGTTCAGGCCCATGTTGCAGCTCCATTTCCCCTGTCCTCTTGGGCTGAGTGTCTGCTCCATCTTTGTTCTCACCCATAGGAGCCATGGATGCCTTCCTGGTGCTGCATCAGCTGCGGTGTAACGGTGTCCTTGAAGGTATCCGCATCTGCCGTAAGGGATTCCCCAACAGGATCCTCTACGCAGACTTCAAGCAGCGGTAACTCCCTCTTCTCCCTTGCCCAGCAGCCATCACTTATTCTGAGGAGAGAGAGACTGCCCTGGCTCCCCAGCTTGTGCAGGGCTGGTCTGAACCACCACAATATGCCCAGTGTCTGCACAGTTTGGGACAGCTCTGCTGCTGGCTCTGTGGTGCCAGACATGATGAGACAGCAGGGCTGGTGATGTTTGAGATGCTGAATGCAGGGCTGGTGCAGGCGGATGGTGGAAAGGCTCAGGTCCTCCAATCCTAGCTCAGATTTCTCTCTGCTCTTGGGGTCCTTACCATTCTTCAGGCTGGTCCCATCCACCCTGCTTGGCCTGGGCTTGATGAGGCATGCTGAGGCCAGCGGCCTCCTCCTGCACAGTCTTCCTTGTGTTTAGGGACTAAGATCTGGCAGGGTTCCCTGCTGTCTGCTCTGCAGAAGAGCCCATACTGCGCCCTGGAGCTCCTGGTTCATACGTGGCTCCAGCCCATGCTGCAGTGACATGCTTCCAGGGGGAACTGGCATGACTGGTGCAGGGGTGATGATGGAGCAATAAGCTCTGTTTTGGGGTTCTTTTGCATGTCCTCCCTCTGCTTTGTCCCTGCAGCTACCGTATCCTGAATCCAGCAGCCATTCCAGATGACAAGTTTGTGGACAGCAGAAAGGCCACAGAGAAGCTTCTGAGCTCCCTGGAACTGGACCACTCACAGTACAAGTTTGGTCATACCAAGGTGAGACCAGGCAGCTGGTCCTTCAGAAGGAGACATTGCAGCTCCTGTCTCTCTGCAATCCCAGTTTGCTCTCCCTGCCCAGCTTGCTTTCTGCCTGGCCACAGCACTGCTCTGCAGGTTGAGTGTGACCCTTGAAGGGATTGAGGAGGGCAGAGGAAGAAACAGGTTGAGAAGAAACAGGTCTGAGCAGAAGGTCACTGCTACCTGATCTCATACCACCCAACACAGCATCTAGTCTCTGCTGGGGGATGAGAGGGGATGTGTGCAGGGCAGGGAGATTTGGTGCCCAGCTGTACCTGTGCACCTTCAACCAGTGCAGAGCGTGGGGGTGTGCCTGTGCAGGGAGGGTGCCTAAACCTGCAGTGTGTAGCCCTCATAGCTCTCTGTATCCCTGCTTTGGGCCTCATGGAGCCCAGGTCTGCCTGACAGGTCAGTCACCTCTGAGCCCTCTGTCCTCTCTGCTGTTGACTCTGTTCTCACTCTCTTGGCTGCAGGTGTTTTTCAAGGCTGGTTTGCTGGGCTTGCTGGAAGAGATGCGAGATGAGCGTCTGGCCAAGATCTTGACCATGCTGCAGGCCAGAATCCGTGGGCACCTCATGCGCATTGAGTATCAGAAGATCATCAGCAGGAGGTAGAGTTGTGGGGGGAGGCAGAACTTTGTGCCCTTGTCTCCTTGTTCCTTCCACACATTTCAGTGGGTTTGACCTGTCGGGCTTGCCTATGGATGGTATGGCTTGGGTAAGGCCCTGTCCTGAAGGGGTGGAGGCAGACCTGTAAGAAGTCTGACATCAGCCTGGTAGGAAGGGTCAGTGTATCTAGGTGGGGGGAGCCTTTGGTTTCCATTGGAATATTCAGAGATGTAGAGTGAGGAGATCTGACAGCCAGGCCACACCATCCATCCCACTAGGGCCACTACAGTGTGCAGACAATGTGCCATTCATTCAACATGCTGCCATTTGCCCTCCTGGTGAAGAATAGAGGCATGTCCAGGTCTGCAAATGCCAGGTCCCTGCTGCCGTGAGGATGGGAGGTGGGAAATCTACACCCATGATGATGCCATGCTTGTATCCCTCCAGGGAAGCCCTCTATACCATTCAGTGGAACATCCGGGCCTTCAATGCTGTCAAGAACTGGTCCTGGATGAAGCTGTTCTTCAAGATCAAGCCTTTACTCAAGTCTGCTCAGACTGAGAAGGAAATGTCCAACCTGAAGGAGGAGTTCCAGAAGTTGAAGGAGGCTCTGGAGAAATCTGAGGCTAAGAGGAAGGAGCTGGAAGAGAAGCAGGTCTCCATGATCCAGGAGAAGAATGATCTGGCTCTCCAGCTGCAGGCAGTGAGTGCTTCACTCTCTCTCTGGAAGTGTAAAGATAGTGCAGGGTCCATGGGTAGAAGAATGGATGATAGATCCCTCCTTCAGCCTTTTGCAGTTCTGAGACCCCCTCATTGCCACAATCTGTTTGAATTGCAGTGTTAGATTCGGTGCAAACCTGAAGCAATGTCATAGACTTGCTGTCTCAGGGCTGCCATGGGGATTCATGCTCCCCTGGCTCTGGAAAGGGTGATCTTCTCACATTGGGGTGGGAGAGATGGGAATGTTTGCTTGCCAGGCTGTGGCTAATCTGTGCCATTTCTGTACCAGGAAGTGTCGGTCCAGTTTTTCCTTCCTCTGGAAAATTTAGTTGGAGTTAGCTCTTGGCCCTGGTTAGTGTTAGTTGTTGTCCCATGGTCCTTCAAAACGGGCAGAGACTGGAGCCGTCTCTTTCACATACCTGAGCACTTTGGGCTTGCTCTGCCCCTTCCACAAGGAGAGCTTCTGCTCTGCACCAGGACAGCATGTCTGAGAGACTGCTGGTATGCTCTTGGGGCAGTGGATGAGCACTCACTCTCCTGTGGCTGTTCCAGGAGCAAGACAACCTGGCAGATGCAGAGGAACGCTGTGACCTGCTGATCAAGTCCAAGATCCAGCTGGAGGCCAAGGTGAAGGAGCTGACGGAGCGTCTGGAGGATGAGGAGGAGATGAATTCAGACCTCACTGCCAAAAGACGCAAGCTGGAGGATGAGTGTGCAGAGCTGAAGAAGGACATCGATGACCTAGAGATCACACTGGCCAAGGTGGAGAAGGAGAAGCATGCCACAGAGAACAAGGTAACTGACCCTCCCTGCAGAGTACAGCCTCATTGCCCAGGGGCCTCAGTGCTTGTGAGGGCACAAAGAGAAATGTCAGGGGCAAGGCTGCTGGTGTGTAGGAGCTGGGGCTGAAAACAGTGCAAAATGGTGTGGGAGGGGACAAAACCCTCTGGTGTCCTGCATCATTGCACTGGAGTGGTATCGGCAAACGGTTCTGTACAATGGCAAGTGATTTGGGGCAAACCACCTGGTGGAACCAACCTGGCCAAGAGGAGAGGGCCTGGCTGCTGCTGTGGTGCCAGGATGCTGTTGATCATAGGCTCCTGCTTTTCATGGGTCAGGCTACTGTGTTAGCTTTGCTTCCCGTGTTTCTGAGAAGATGCACTTAATTTTTGACCCCACTGATCTAGGTCAAAAACCTGATTGAAGAGATGGCTGCTCTGGATGAGATCATTGCCAAGCTGACAAAAGAGAAGAAAGCACTGCAAGAGGCCCATCAGCAGGCTCTGGATGACCTGCAGGCTGAGGAAGACAAGGTCAACACGCTGACTAAAGCCAAGGTCAAACTGGAACAGCAAGTGGATGATGTGAGTCATAGATCAGTGACAGTGAAGTGAGAGAGGTTTGAGCCAACCTCCAGGAAAGCCCAAGGGCTGTCCCTGAACTATTTCTGGAGGGTGGGATCGTTATCAGGCCTTCATTTAATATGGCCAGTTGATGAATAACCCCATTGACACACTGCCTCTGAACCAAGAGGTGGTCTGGAACACCCCATGGACTGCAGTCCTGGGCTGAGGGAATGGGGCTGGAGACCAACTAGGAAACACCTCTGGATCTTGGGGATGGGTGAAGTCCCCACAGTAATGGACACAGGAAAGGTTGGGGCTACAGAGGGTCGTTTCTCTCCCTAGCCTGTCTCCCTTTATTCTCCAGTTGGAAAGCTCTCTTGAACAAGAAAAGAAAGTCCGCATGGACCTGGAAAGAGCAAAGAGGAAGCTTGAAGGAGACCTGAAGTTGACGCAAGAGTCTGTAATGGATCTGGAGAATGACAAACAGCAGCTGGAGGAGAAACTCAAAAAGTGAGTCTGTGATATGTGCCTGGGCTGTGAGCTTACTCTGGTGGGACAGTGCCCACCTCTAAATCAAGTGGACATGTGGCCTCTGCAGGGGCTGTTGGAATGTGGCTTTGAGCACTGTGGTGTGATCAGTCCAAGCAAAATAACAGAATCACAGAATCACTAAGGTTGGAAAGGACCTTCAAGGTCATCAAGTCCAACCATTAATCCATTGCCACCATGTCCCCTGAACCATGTCCTGAAGCACCACATCCACACGTTTTTTGAACACTTCCAGAGATGGTGACTCTATTATCTCCCTGGGCAGCCTGCTCCAATGCTTGA